AAAGGAAAAAATGAAATCGCATCATATGACCCCTTTAATTTCTGAACTTTTTTGTTTGTTAGTTCTATAGTTTTGTGTGTGTGTGTGTGTGTGTGTACTTCATAGTGATTGTTTTGGGCAACAGGTATTATTTTTTTAAGTATTATTTTTGCATGTCTAACATTCTACTCAAATTCTTCGAGAGACACAGCCCTTGGCTGTTTTGCTTGTAAAATATTCCGTTCTGTCTAAACTCATACACAAATAGGGTTAATCACCTTTCTTTACTGAATTAATATTACTGGACTTTTACAAAACCACATACCCATGTAGTAGGAAGACCTCTCTAGGAAGACCTCTCGAGTCAGAGAGAGCTACCATGTCCCCCTGTTATTATTCTGTTATAATAAATATATACAAATGTAAAAAAAAAAATGTACATTTGTATGTATTTATCATAACAATAAGTGTGTGTACATTACATGGATTGAGTTCTTAATGTGTGTGTGTGTGTGTGTGTGTGTGTGTGTGTGTTGCATTACACACTAAACAGAGCCAAACAGAAGTAAAAAGGTTATACTGCATAATACAATATTAAAATGGTAATAATGCATAATGCCATTAAGTACAGCATCCTGCTAAATATATCAGTAGTAAATCATGGGGGCACACAGCACAATGTGACTTTGCTGCAGCCTAGAATTGAACTGCTGGTTTCGTCTGGCCAGAGGAGAACTGGCCCCCCGACTGAGCCTGGTTTCTCCCAAGGTTTTTTCTCCATTCTGTCACCGATGGAGTTTTGGTTCCTTGCCGCTGTCGTCTCTGGCTTGCTTAGTTGGGGACACTTCATTTCCAGCGATATCGTTGACTTGATTGCAAATGATTGCAAAGATACTATTTAAACTGAACTGAGCCGGATGATGACATCACTGAATTCAATGATGAACGCTCTTTAACTGAAAAATTAGTGTTTACTATTGTCATTTTGCATTATTCACACTATTTTCCTAATTAATGCTGTTCAGTTGCTTTGACACAATATGTATTGTTAAAAGCGCTATATAAATCTTTGCATTATTGACACAATATTTTCCTAATTAATGCTGTACAGTTGCTTTGACACAATCTGTATTGTTAAAAGCGCTATATAAATAAAGGTGACTTGACTTGACTTGACTTGACGAACGGCGCATTTCCAATGACCCACTAATATACCGATGCACTCAAATGACACTAAAACTACAAGTTTTCTTTAAATCCTGCGTTGCAGAAAATTTCTGAAAGCTTCATCACACAAAAGACACAATGAAAGAACTTAACACTTAAACCCTGACGTCAGACTAAAGGAACATGCGCTGTGACGCATCCACCGGCGAGCGCTTCTCAAACGCGACTCGTCAGAGCGGAGAGAAAGTGCGCTCGTTAAAGAGAAGAATCAAACCCCGGTAACTGCACAGACGGAGGCGGAGAAACAGACTCAACATATCACCAACACCACATGCGTCGCGTTTGGGACATTTTTACATAATCATTCGAATTAATGCGGGAATTAGCCTACGGCTGTTTGTTTCTTCTGATACACACCAAGGACCAGTAGAAGATACAGAGGAGAGTGACAGTTCTAGCGTTCAGCGCAGTTCTCCAAGTGCGTAAAACAGAAATGTTGGAGAGGATGATCGCGCAACACTCGACTTAAATCCACGCAACAGCCACAGACAAACTGGTAATTTCCACATTATTGCAATGGGCGGTGAAAGCTCCAGAATATATTGTTTTCCTAAAGTTGGCATCTCTTGAAAAACAACGGATCCCTTTCTTTTGAATCTGTGAAAGAAAAGCGCAGCAAAGGTGTTGGTTACTGTATGGCAATAGAATGGAGATGTGGTGTGGATGCTGAAGGCAGTCAGGATGCTGATGCTGAGAGTTGCGTGGGCTCTAGCGGGAGCGGCGATCTGCTGTTTTCTCATCATTCTCATCCACTCTCACTTCCTACGAGAAGGTAAATATGTGTGTTAATTAATAATATGCCCCATGTTTTATTTACCTATACTCGGAAATCGCACCTGTAGGGTGATATGATGGAGGAATATTGCAGATTTAATTTATGTCGTTATTATTTTTACAGTGCGCAATCATGTTCATATTTCCCTTTAATATAGAGAACGCGTTTTGGAGGGGAAAAATATAATAAATAATCAACAAAAACACTCTTGTGGTCTGTTTTGGACCCGTAAGATTTACCACATAATATTCGTGCAAAACTGACGTTTCTCTTATTTGATTGATGTTTTTTTCTTATGAACTCATCTTCAAAAGAGGTAGAATGTGATACAGATACAGGAGCTGTTTTATGAGTTAGTGATTTATAGTTATGTTTTTCAATAGATGGCACTACAGTCTATCTAAAGTGTAAAGCTGAGGTCAAAAAGTGATTATTGTCTCTCATTAGTTTATCTGAAATTGATATTTCATGCATCTAAATTCAACTTTCACTTAGTATATAAAGTGCATTATAAAGTATTCATAATTCCACAGTGTAATAAATAATATGTCATAACTGTAACCAAAGTTATATTATAATAAATTGTATATATTCATGATTACATCTCAAAAATGTATAGTACATGAAATATGGTGTTTACCATATATGTTGTACTGTAGAAATGAACTACACACTCTCAGAAATAAAGGTTCAACAGCTGTCACTGGGGCAGTACCTTTTCAAAAGGTACATATTTGTACCTAAAGGGTCCATTTTGGTACCTTAAAGGTACATATTGGTAATTAAAGTGTACATATTAGAACCTAATAGTTACAAAAGTGTACCTTTTGAAAAGGTACCACCCCAGTGACAGCTGTTGTACCTTTATTTCTGAGAGTACTGTAAAAAAATGGACGTGGTAATTTGTCAGTTCACATTAAAATAGTATGTAACATGATTTAAATGACCTGTTTACAAAAGGCTATACTCTAAATTACTCTGCAGCTGAAGGGGCAACGTGTCAACATGAATGCTGAAAGGTGAGAAATGGGAGCCACACAGACAAGTCAGCTAGATACTGCTGCTTCAACTTTCCACACTGACACAGTGGACATAGGATGTCATTTTCAAAAGACACCTATCCTGGCTTCTGCATGTGCCTTAAGGGAAGACAGTTTGTTTATAGATGAGACAGAGGGTCAGCTGGTTTCTCTGCTTAGCTGTGAGGATTGGAGCATGTTTTCAACCCACCCCTGTTGTCCTGATGTAAACATAAAGATTAGTCTATGAGGGGGGGAAAAAATCAAGGTGAAGTATAAGTTATGCAGAAATAACAAAGGGGGGGGGGACTTCCTACGAGAAGGTAAATATGTGTGTTAATTAATAATATGCCCCATGTTTTATTTACCTATACTCGGAAATCGCACCTGTAGGGTGATATGATGGAGGAATATTGCAGATTTAATTTATGTCGTTATTATTTTTACAGTGCGCAATCATGTTCATATTTCCCTTTAATATAGAGAACGCGTTTTGGAGGGGAAAAATATAATAAATAATCAACAAAAACACTCTTGTGGTCTGTTTTGGACCCGTAAGATTTACCACATAATATTCGTGCAAAACTGACGTTTCTCTTATTTGATTGATGTTTTTTTCTTATGAACTCATCTTCAAAAGAGGTAGAATGTGATACAGATACAGGAGCTGTTTTATGAGTTAGTGATTTATAGTTATGTTTTTCAATAGATGGCACTACAGTCTATCTAAAGTGTAAAGCTGAGGTCAAAAAGTGATTATTGTCTCTCATTAGTTTATCTGAAATTGATATTTCATGCATCTAAATTCAACTTTCACTTAGTATATAAAGTGCATTATAAAGTATTCATAATTCCACAGTGTAATAAATAATATGTCATAACTGTAACCAAAGTTATATTATAATAAATTGTATATATTCATGATTACATCTCAAAAATGTATAGTACATGAAATATGGTGTTTACCATATATGTTGTACTGTAGAAATGAACTACACACTCTCAGAAATAAAGGTTCAACAGCTGTCACTGGGGCAGTACCTTTTCAAAAGGTACATATTTGTACCTAAAGGGTCCATTTTGGTACCTTAAAGGTACATATTGGTAATTAAAGTGTACATATTAGAACCTAATAGTTACAAAAGTGTACCTTTTGAAAAGGTACCACCCCAGTGACAGCTGTTGTACCTTTATTTCTGAGAGTACTGTAAAAAAATGGACGTGGTAATTTGTCAGTTCACATTAAAATAGTATGTAACATGATTTAAATGACCTGTTTACAAAAGGCTATACTCTAAATTACTCTAAAGTAATTTTTTAACATTCAAACAGACTAAACAAGCTTCTCAATGTAACAACTGCACATTTTCCCATTTCATACTGTATACATATGACTAAGTATAAGAATATGTATATAGTTATATAAATGCATTATATTATACAGTATTATAACTGCGGTTACAATTACCCACAAGAACAGTCTATGAGATGTAAAATGTGGCATTATGAAAGTGTCATAATGCTTTAAGAGTATTTTTATTTATACAGGCTTAAAGTAAAGTGTTAACTTGATGTATATACTCTAACAGTATATATATATATA